GCCCTTTTGTTTGCATTTTGTTTTTGAGACAGTGTCTTGTTAACTTTTCCCAATTTGGCTTTGACCTCCTGATTCTCCTAACACCTGGGAGCTTGAATGTTTTAACACTCAGAAGATGGTAATGGCAAATAGATTGCTAATTATGTTTTTGATTACTTCAGTTGCTGAAAGAATTTCTTTGTAAACAACTGGATGTCCTCTTAACATGATCACTCATACATTTACTCATTTGTTTCTCTGAAGCACAGAGAATATGAAGTGTCAGGAAAAAGCCCATTTCTTGACAGCTGAGCCATTTGTATCACCATTCAAATGCTCTTAGGAAAGTATTCAAAACTCAACATTTTGTAATCATTAAATTTCTTCCTGAAATTTATAATTTAGGCCACTTAGTGTATAACTAAAACTTGAGGAAGTCATTCAAAAAGCACAAAAATGGTCTTCACTGGGAATATCAGTTCCACAAAATTTTTTTTTCATCTCTCATTCAAAAGCTTGTGTGAACTTTCTCTTGTCAGCCAGCAGATCTCCTTACAGTAAAGTAGGATCACATGTCAGTCCATTTCTGTCATGTACTCAAGATTATTTGCACTTTAATTACTGATCAGGGTCCTTTTAAGATCCTTCAGAAATAAATGAAGAAAATTGCTGACCTCTATATGTCTCCTGTGATAAAACTGTGTGTGGACTGACATTCAAGTGCAACTTATTTATTAACAAAGCAATACAATTCTTGTATTAGTTTTGTGTAGGTGTGACCAAAATACCTGACCCAAACAACTTAAAGGAAGAAAGATTAATTTTGCCCAGTTTCAGAGGGATCAGTCCATGGATGCCCATGGTTGCTGGCCCCCTGCACTTGGTAAAAACATCAAGATGGTGGGATTGTGCGAGGAGGAGGTCTTCCCCTCATGGAGGACAGAAAGCAGAGAGAGATAGAAAGCAAGGAAGGGGCCAGGATAAGATAGCCACAATTTACTGCAGCCAGTGACCTAACTGCTCCAGCTAGGTCACCTTCCTCAAGTATCCAGAAACTCCCAAAATAGTGCCACCAGGTTGGGACCAAGTGTTAAACACATGAACTGTGGGTGATATTCATATCTAAACCATAAGAGCTGTATACATAAATGTTCTTCCCTCAGAATTGAAAAACAACTTTTTTCAGTTGTTTTTATAGGTTACAGATGGCAGAAAAAAGTTAAATTTCTAATCTCTTCTAAGCATCTATTTTTCACTTTGAAAACCCACAAAATTCCATCAAACTATTTTCCTTATATCAGTGCTGCACATGTGCCAAAAGCTGATTCAGTGGTTTCCCCAAATGTAAAGCAAAATATGAGACTGCCACAACACATACGACCTACCACTACACTTATGTAAGGCAATTTTTGCAAAAGCTTACTCTGCCTTCTTTTTAAGCACAATTTGTGTTTTATATTGTTGTTGGTAGTAGTGTGACCTGTATCTGTTTTTACTTTGATAAGTACATCTAAGAACATACTTTAAATTATTAACAATTATTTCTGAAAGTCACATAATTTAATAACAAAAAATCTGAGCATTATTTAAATAAGAACCAAAAACTTCAAAAGTTTTTTGCCAGCAAAACAGGAGACTTGGAGTGAAAGTGTACTTGGCACAAATCAGTTTAATTTTCATATATCACTATTAAATTTCCTAGATTCACTTTTCTTTACTGGCTTTTGATTCACCTATTTGGCAATGCATACTCGTAGTTTGTAATTTTATTGAAGACATTCTCATTAGGGAGATTAAGAATGCTAAACAGAATTGTTTTATGTGTTACTACTTTTTCCATTACTTGCCATAGTAAATGTAAAGCAACACAGTAAGAATACTGAAAACAACTCCAGATGTAATAAGAATAAACAATACCATAGCACCGGCATGCAACACCAGGCAAGATGAAGTGACACTTCACACTTTCTATATGACATGAATTAACTTTCAGGAAAAAATTATTAATAAGGAATTCATCGTGAAAATAAAATTAATCTTAATAGTTCAAATTTGTAGACTGTAAGGTAGATCCATCACATGACTTTTGTTCTGAAATTTCTGGATCAGCTTCTAGATCTCCATGGACTGCTCATGACATGCTTTCCCACTTCATCCCAGCAAGGTCTATAAGACAAATCCATACAACCTGTCCTGTATTTTCTTTCTTTACTCACATTCCCTTTTCCATTAGCGCACTAGATTTTACATTTTTTTATTAGTATATATTAATTGTACAAAATAATGGATTTCACTATTTCATTTTCATACATGTATATAATGTACTTTAATCAGCCTTTGCTTATTTCAAGACATCTGCAACTACAGACCCAGCTTCTCCCTTAGAAATTAAACTTGGATGCCTGTGAGACATCTGTACTTGGATGTCTAAAAAGCACCATCCATTTACTAGGTACAGAATGGGAATTTTGATGGTCTTCTCCAAACATGGCCCACCTCCAAAGACTCCCACCTTATGATATTATAATTCATTCACTTGTTCAAGCCCAAGCTTAAGCATCAATTGAGACTTCTACTCATATGCCATGTACCCAATGCAGCTACAATTTCTGTTGATTTTTCTCTCAAAAGTACACCTGAAATCTGACAATGTCCCTCTACTTGTACAGTTGCCACCTTTGTTCAAACTGCCATCAACTTATCTCTTTCTTGATCTCATTACCTTTACCTTCTTAAGTGTTTCCCTTGTTTCTACTTTCTTTTTCTTTCTGTCATTACTGGGGTTTGAGCTGAATGCCTTGTACCTGCTAGGCAGGCACTCTACTACAGAGCATTGCTTTATCCTAGGGCCAGTCTGGAGTGTGATCCTCCTATTTATGCTACCCCAGTAGCTAAGGTGACAAGTATGTACCACTGAGTCCAGCTATTGGTTGAGATGGGGTTTCACAAGCTTTTAGTCCGGGGTGACCTTGAACCATAATCCTCTTGAGCTCCATCTCCTGAATAGCTAGAATTACAGGCACGAGCCACTGTGCCCAGCTTTGTTTTTATTCTTGTAACAACTGTCTTTTCACAATGACCAGAAAGGACCTTTTCTGAAAACAAAAATTGTCAGGTAAAAACTCTCCAAGGGCCTCCCATCACACTTAGAATGAGGTTCATTGCTCTTGTATGGTCTGCAAAGCCTTATGTGATCTGCAATCCTGATGTCTCTAGGGAGCCTACTTACTTATTCTACTGCAGACATACTGGCTTTGGGATGTTCTGTCCACACATTAAAATCATTCTTGTCTCTGGATTTTTGCACTGTTTCCTTCTGCCTGGAACACTTTACGCCCACCCCCTGATATTTGTGTGATTTATTCTATTACCTCAGTTAGGTTTTCTTTACTGATTTTCCTAACAATAGTTTAATATCATCCACTAATTCTGCTTTCTCTTTCTCTAAAGTTTCATAACTCTGTGATACTTTATTGTATGCTTCTTTGTCACAAATTTCTCTCACTGGAATGTAAGTTCTGTGAATGCAAAAACATTGAATTATCATGACTCAAAGTACATAAGATATCTAGAAACCCCATGGTCCTACTGTCAAGTAAACTGTACATATACAACGAGCAGAGGTAAATATTTGATACTTTCTATCCTTTAGTTAGTTCTGTGTAAAGCAGAATGCTACAAGGCAGAAGACATGAGAGAATCTCTAAAAAAGGAAAAGCTGGCCACTCAATCTCAGAGGAGTAACACTCTGTGAGGAAAGAAATGAGTGTATAGGGAATTTAGCTTTGGTCTAGAGTCATCATAGGAGTTTAACTGAGAAGGGCCGTAGAGTTTCTAGATATCATATATACACTGAGAAAATTAATTTCACCCTTGGATCAGTTCATAGGTTAAAATTTGTAAAGTAATAAACATGGTTATTTACTTAAGCTATATTCAGTATTAACAAAAATCAAATCATGAACAAGTACCTGATGAACACTGAGTACAGCACAATATAAGCCAAATCCCTGCAAAGGCTAAACTTTAACTTTATTGCATTGGCTATCGTTTAAACCTATAGAGAGTTTTCTATATCTCTACCTTAGTCAACTGGTTTTCTGAATCTACTGCATCTAATGTGACCTATCATTGTTGAAAATGTGCATGGTCACAAGTAGAGCTGCAAACAGGAAGAAAGGTTGATTCATGCATTCCCTGAGAGTTGTGTGCTCATGTGACAACCTTTTCAGGTAGTCATTGGATTCCATTGAATTTGGATAGGATGATAGCAGGTAATATCCCTGGGGACACCTTAAAAGTTAAATATGCTGGAATTATGGGCTCTAGATTCTGATTAATGAAATATTATCTAGTGCCTGATGGGCAAGGAGCAGTAAGTTACTGACTGAAAACATAGCTTATGTTATGTTATACATCTTAAGGTACTTTCTTTGTAATCAATTAAATTTATTATTTGAATAGTCAATTTTACCACCATTCAATATAAAATCAAATAGTCATTTCAACACACTCATTTGGCTTGCTTCACTCTTGAAAGCATTGCAAAGATTTGCTGTGAAGTCATACTAGCCCATGCAGAGATTTTCATTGTTGCACTGGACAGTAATATTTGAATAACTATAACTTTAGCCAGACTTAACAGTGAAAAATTTAGTTGAGATTTCTTCTAAGAAAAGCTCACTGTCATTAGTATGACTATTTTTCCCTGAATTTCCAGGTGGCTTCATGTGAATACTAAGTAGTTTAAACTACCTACAAGAGTCACGTTCTGAAGCAGTCCCTTCCTTGGTACCATAAGATTAGCATTTGGTTTTGTATGAATGTATAAATTCTTGCTGAATCTAATTTAAGAATTTAGCAGACTAAATTATATTTTATCATCTGGCCAGGAAGCTAAAAACAGAAAGTTAAAGATGTAGTTCCAATTTTAACGATTTCAACTGTTTATGTGGAAAAGATATGTTTTCAATTCAGAAGACATATGGCTGAATATAGTTATTAAGAGCTTGGTGTCCTACCTCTCGAATTGCTGTACAAAACTCACTCTGAAGCACCTTTTTGAGGGATTGTAGCTTGTGCACTGGTACCTCTCCAGATTCCTGTAGCTTCTCCAGTAATTCAATTGCTCTTGCAACATCTGAATGGAAAAAAATCAAAATGGAGAGACCTAGAATCAATTATATAATGCCAGTAAAACATCACTATCCCGGCTGAGTTTTCTATTTCTCTACCTTAGCCACTGGGTCTTTAACATCTACTGACCACATATACCAACTAAAACAACATGAAATTAGTTACAAAATCAGAATTTATAAATCATAGCTTATTGATTACATTTTTGGTAAAAGGTCACTCTAATTTTTTTCATATAATTTTTGCTTAATATACCTTGCTGGAATTTCATATATGTTATTTCTGTCAAATAAATCAGTTTTAATAAGTGAGAAGAACAAGAAAAATATGTTATTTATTCTGATATCCTAATAGCCAAACTAGTTCTGTCAATTTTATCTTTGAATTCTTTTCTTCAGTTTGACTCTTCTTTTCCCACATGACATTTATCACAGCTGCAATATTACAAGTAGTTAGTATGATTACTTGATTAATGTACCTCTCCTTTACTTGTCCAAAAACTTTCAGGTATGGACTTAACTGTTTTTTTTGTTTTTTTTTTTTTTTGCCATTGCATCTCTAGAGTATAGTATAATACAAGAAATAACTACTTGATGAAGAAATGAATTAATAAATTCTCTCCATTTTACCTCTATTGCATCATTCCAGGTCCTCACTATCTCTCCTCTATACAACTGAAAAAATTTATTTTACAGTCTCTTCATAAGGTCCACAGTTATCTTCCTAAACAAAAATGTGATCATCTCTCAGCTTTTAGAACAGTACCAAACAAGAGTGCTTAATATCAATATCAAAGGTTAGTAAGCATATACCCTCTTCTTGCCATAAAAATTTAAAATTCAAGGATTATTTCATATTGCCAAGAGAAAATAAAACAATGAAAGGCCATTGTAAAGATACTTGTATGTCTGTGGATATAGCTCAGTGCACTTGTTTTTTATGTGCAAGGCCCTTGGTTTGATCCCCAGCACCACAAAAAAACTACTTAAAGCGAGCTCTTCTAACTGTTGCTACAGTCAATACTTCACTGAAAAGTCACTTAGGCATCTAAGTAGTAGAATGTAAAGTTTTCAATTCCTAGAAGATTAGTTCCAGAAAATATCACATATCCCTGCAGTCAGATTATAAATTCATCCATTCACTCATCCATTCAGTTAATCTGAGTATCTGGCATTAAGAGTGACAAGAATAACATACTTCCTTTCCAAACTCATAGAACTCACAATCAAATAAAAAAACATAACAGCAATGCCACCTATAATAAAATTATAACATTTTAGAATTTGGGTGGGGTTAGCATAGATGTAGTAGATATCAAACTAAAAAAAATGATTAGAAAGTGACTTTGCAGAATCTCTCCCTGAAGTAATTATGTTGACAATTGTAGACCAAAGTAGTATAAATTGTGAAATCAATATGACACTGTTAGTTCCCAAGGTTTGTCTTTTAGTACATAAACTGGAAGACAACATAGTCAATTGGACAGCACTGGTCACATCTACAATCAATAAGGTACTAAGCTGAGATTTAATGCACTTCCAACTGCATAAAATACTCTTCTCAGATGCCCCATGGGTGTATGGAACTCTTCATATGTTTAAAACTGAGATCATTTATTCTTTTCCTGAAACCAGTTCTTGTCTTCCTATATTCTATATTTCCATTAATAGCATACCAAAGCAGCCTGCCTCCTAAGCTAGACCATGGCATTGTCTTTCACACTCATTCCCCAGATGTAGTTAGTCAACAAGTGCTATAGATTCTCTCAAAAATGGCTTTTAAGTGGAACTCCTCCACTTCAATATTTCAGGGAATTCATCATTTCTCACCTGTAGTACTGGAAAAATGTCCTGACTGATCTTTAATTTAGCCTTTTCTTTTTCAGTCCATCTTCTATACTCCTTCTGAATGATAAGCCTAAATATTATTCTCCTATCCATAAAACCTCACTGACACTACAGGATAAAGTTCAGACCATTTAGTGGTTTGTGGAAGAAGCTTAGCAGCCCACCTCTGCTCCCTCATCACTTTAGAGCCCCCTCTATGTATAATTTGCACATCCAAATTTTTACTGTTCTTAGAACATACTACAAAATGCTGTGCCTCTATGGCTTGGTGCATATTGCCCTCTGTTCCTGAGTGCAATTCACTCAGAATATTGGACCTTATTCTGTGCATAAGAGGAGGTTGTTCTTTCTCTTGCTTTCACTGCATGTACAGGACTGAGGGCAACAGTTTGCAGGAAAGGTGTGTGTTCTATAAGCCAAGTACTATGAGTGGTCAATGGATTATAATAAACACATATATCACCATGCAAGAGGTTAGGAAGAACCTCTTTGTGGAAGCAGTAGTTAAGCACAGTCCTAGGTAGAAGGTGGAAGTGTGGAAAGGGAAAAGAATATTCTAGGTAAAGGAAATAAATGAAGATGAAGACTTGTTTAAGAGAGTGTAGGTCATTCAAAAAATTGAAAGGGGAGGTAGGGGGAAGATGGCTCAATGTATACACCTGTGAGTAAATGTAAAAACAATAAAATAAAAAAACTGAAAAGACTTCAGTTTAGCTAAAACTGATAGCAGGGAGAGAATGGCAAGTGATGGAGCAGACAAAGGACACATCGTGGAAGGTTTTTTAGGTTGTGTAGCAAAGATTTAACTTAAATAGCATCTTTCTAGGCATCTCTTCACTGTCCAGGCAGCTTCAGTTGCTATCAGCTCTGTGCTCCTACAGTTCTTTGTTTACTTATCCATCACAGTAATTATCACTCTCTGCTGTAACTCTGTTTGCCTGTCTGTCTTCCTCCTTCATCTCTGCAAATCTCTTTGTTTCTTGAGGTATCAGGAACAATATCTTGTCATTGTATCCACAGCTCACTGCAGAGTACCTGACACATATTAAGTGTTTAAAGCACATTTGTTGAATGAATAGTAGATTAATTCATGAGACTGGCTCAGGAAGGCAAGTGTTAGAGGTCATTATCTGTATGAACCTGTAACTTCTCATGAATCTAGATCTCCAAATCTCTTTCAGCATTGGCAGAGACTTTCTTGGTCTGGTGTGGGAGAAAGAGACAAGCCTAAATCTATAGGCCGAAGGGTATTAAGGGCAATGGGGGAAGCTCAGGAAAATTGAGAATGATAGCAACCCGAATATTAGGTAGTTTTCATCCTGTGCTGTGCGTTGGAATTACCTGGGGCGCATTTAAAAATTGTCGATTTCTAAGCCCCACCTCAAATGAACTAATCTAGACTCTCTAGAACAGTAGCTCTCAACCCTGACTAAAAAAATATGCCTGATTTAGCCCCAGCCCAGAATCCATATCTGAGGCTGAGACCCCTGCTCCAGTCAATGTGGTGGTTCTAAAGTTCCTTTGTGATGTTAATGTGCAGCTAGGACTGGGAACCACTGCCAGGGGTTAATGGCTCTAAAACATGAATATATCTAAGCGTAACTTGAGAGAGCTTAGTGAGATGAAGGTTTACAACCCCCAGCCCCACTGGAGAAATGGTGATTTAGGAGGTGTGAAACTAGGATCAGGTATATCCTTCTTAAACAAATGCTCAAAGTAATTCTGCAATTGTTGGTTCGAAGAAGAAAAGTGAACACGATGATCCTTTAGTTTCTTTCACCTCCAGGTATTCCTGGAGATTTGCATTCTGTTATTCTTTTATACAGTGTTTGAAAGGATACCGAATGGGATTCTTCCAGGAGTCTCAGAATTCTTGATAAAAGCCCATAGACGAAAGTGATTAATGTGGGGTTACCACCGTATTCTAAAATGCTGATCCTTACAAAAGGCATATTGTTGGAATCATCTGAGTTTTCCACTGGCCTTCTAACCCAGACCAATTAAATCAAACTCTCTAAGAGTGCCATCCATTCCTCAGTGTTTTTGAAGCTTCCAAATGATTCATATGGCCATCCAAGGCTAAGAAAAAATGTTATTCAAAACAGGAGTCATCAAAGAAAGCAGACACACCTGAATTAACGCATATTAAAAGCTGGTCTGTGCCAGTGATGGTGCCAAACAACTATAATTCCATCTACTCTGGAGGCAGAAATAGAAGGCTCAAAGATCTAGGTTAACCTTTGCAAAAGTTAGCAAGACCTCATCTTAAAAACAAGCAGGGTATGGCAATGCATACATGTGGTTCCAAGTGTTTACAGGCAGATGTAGGAGGCATGCTGTCCAGGGCCAGTCAGGCAAAAGTGCCAGATCTTATATGACATACAAACTAAAAGCAGGGGCTCGGGTGGTACAGAGCTTGCCTAGCAAGTCTCAGGCTCTGAGTTTAATCCCCAATACCACCACCACCAATAATTAATAATAATAATAAACAAAAGGTAAACTGCTTTTGTTACATTATACCAGGGGTCTTCTCCAGTCCTTTTAAGAGGCACTTGGGAGATGAGAGAAAGAACTGTCACTGAGTTCAAGGCAGAGTACTAAGTTTCTTGCTTCTGTTCCATCAGCTAAGTGGGAAAGGTCCCAATAGCACCACTTGTAGAGAATGAGAGTGCTTGAAAAAAGGGAGACTAGCACACTTTCTTGGCTATGTAGGCAGTGGTCTTAGTGATCTGCCTCATGTCTGACTGAGCAGAGGGGGAGAGCTGGAGAGCAGTGGCCACTGGGGTCTGAACCGTCTTGCAGGTTTGAAGCCAGAGAGACACAGCAGATGCACAGGCCTAAAAACACACGTTGAAGAGATCAGGTCCCTCTAGTCAAGGATGGCTGTTGCTAGATAGTAGGAGTCATGAGTGATAACTCAATATGAGACTAGACTTATAAACAGAGATCCAGTTCCTTTTATCTCTGCACTAGAAACTGCAATATGCACCAAGCCATAGAGGCACAGCATTTTGTAGGTCCTAATGAGGATCAAAGTATCACATATATACATACGTATATATGCACATGAAGATAGCATAATGAAACCCACCAAACACTGCAAGGGAATATGACAGTTAAATTTCAACATGAGATTCAGAAACTTTGACATAAGACG